TACCGGTTTAGGGCATTACCGCGGGATTGGGATAACCTCACAAGCAAATACAAGCAAATGAGAGTTAAATGTTCAATCTGTATAAGTAAAAATGAAATGCTGTTCTTTGATAAACGAATCATTTGAGAACAGCTGGTCCGATATAGTTATTTCTTTTCAATATTATTTATAGTTTTTATGATGTTTTTGAGGAAAAAGTTGGGTCGTTTCCCAAAATATTGGAGAAATCGAGGAAATCTGTGAATCCGATTTTTGTATGGGCTCAAATATGATAAACTTTATTGTTTAGAAAGGACAACGTCAACTAGTCCTTAATCTATACCAATATTATAAAGAGGTAAAGTTTGTGAGTTTGTGACGTTGTAGGGGGTAATCTCTGGATGTACTGAACCGATTTAGATGAAATTTGGTAAGAAGATAGTTTGGGACCCTGGAAAGGACATAGGATACATTTTATCCCGGAAAACATCCCTTAAGGGGGTGAAAATGGGAATGAAAGTTTGTATCGGGCAGCAAGCTAGGGACGCACCCGAGCGAAGCGAGTGTGAGTCGCTAGTATATAATATATTTTGTTTCTTCCATATCATATACTACTGTACTTTTAAGTATTCTATTAACTTTCAATGAAAATAAATTGCGATCACTTACGTTTTATATGAGAATTGTAATTGAAATTGCTACACTGTTTCGATTAAGATATATGTATGTACTTAGCGACTCTACCTTACTTCGGTCGGATTCGTCTTTGGGTATTTTAAATTGATTTTTTTTTATATATTTATGACCCGATTGAAATAAAACGAATACTAAATATTAAGTGAAGCTTTTCACAATACATTAGTGAAAACCTTACCCAATTCGCTTATTCCGTTTCTGAGATAGCGCGCACAAACAAACAGACAAAAACTCTAACAATTGTGGTTTTAGGTTCTATTGCGTTAATAAAGACCCCAATAATAGTTTTTCTCAAATATCTTCCACGTACAGACAGCGATCAGTTACAATTTTATTATATGTATAGATGAATGCATGTTTGTATGTACAGCAGTCGGTATAACCTTTCCAAATCTACACAAACTTTATCCTGTTTTGAATGGTTATTTATAATCTCGTTATAAATTCTCAAATTGTATTAACGTAATTGAGTGTGCGCGTGCTCTTATAAAAGACAGTTATTTATCAACTTTTGAATTCTGTATGTGTGTATTATTTGCAATTTCTGTCACAAAGGTTTAATCGTATGGTAGTGTATTCCACGTGTAATGGCAAAATCCTTACGTCGGCTACTGAATTATTCATAAAATTTGGCAGATAATATATTTTCTCTATAATGCGAGAATAGATATTATTCTTTCACCATTGTTTTCTACTTATAGCTAAATTTTTAATCTGTGGCATGTAGGTATAAGGCTATACTAATATTATAAAGAGACAGTTTTTATGTTTGTTTGGACGCGCTAATCTCAGAAACAACTAATCCGATTTGAAAAATTCTTTTTCCATTAGATAGCGTTTATTGAAGAAGGCTAAAGGCTATACATCATCATGCTATATATTACCCAAGGGAGCGGTGCAGTAATCATAAATATCTACAAATCGGGCAGATTTCTATATATTATTGTAAAACCGTGGCACAACCGTGTGGCACAAGTAGTGTTTATATATAGCAAGTGTCTTGTTTATATATATATATATATATATATATATATATATATATATATATATATATATATATATATATATATATATATATATATATATATATAAATTTTAATTTTTGAATACTTAGGTACGGTCTAATATTTTTGACATAACCAAAAATATTAGACCGTAAGTATTCAAAAATTAAAATTATTCAAGAATTCAGTTTTTCTCATACCTAGGATTATTTATATTTTATACAAAAAATACATAGAAAAAAACATTACCTTATAATAAACCTGAAAGCAATTATATGTAATGGTAAACAAATATTTGTCATAAAAAAATGTCTAGAATCTTCCAAAGTGTCAAGAACGGAAGTTATTTTTAAATTTCCACTATCTATATAAAATTACTGCAAAAAAACACAACCTGAGATACCAAAATTCTTGTAAATTCTAATTTTAAACTCATATCGAGAATATTTATTAATTAGCAATAGTTTTCTTTGCTTACAAATGGACTACTTTGAATCTCTTATACTCGTACTAAATCTCTACTTTTCTGTATGCCCCTATGTATGTAATTAAAAATGCATTAGCTGCTGAATTTCTCTATAAATTAAAATACAGTATTTTTTTTGGTTTAACCAGCCCTTTTAGATAAATTGTCAATCGGCAATCTATATCGCCAATAGAATACCTCATTCATATACATATACTCGCCTCGCTCGCGTTCGTCCCTACTTACGTTTTAACGTTAAGTATTCTCAGAGTTGACATTTTCCTGCAGTAAAAAGTATCCTATATGTTGACCCGGATAACCAGCTATCATCATGCCAAAATCCCTCCAGTGGTTTTTCCGTGATGCGGTAACAGACAGACAGATATTTAGTATACAGATTCGGCTTAGTTACAATTTTATTATATGTATAGATTAATAGATAGGCGCTACAACAATTATTCTTTTTATAATTTTATTAGCATTAGCGATTTGAAAACTTTATCTGATCTATGAAATGAAAAGATATTCGCTATACAAGTGATGGGCGACAAACCTAAGTTACAGTTATGCAACAAGCCTACCTTCCACTTTTCCAATGGCCCGATAGAACTGTTTATACCAACCAGAACGCACCGGTTGTAGCCGGCTCAATTCTTTTCAAACTACGTGTTATCTTGTACTCGCAATAAAATTTTATAATTACAACATTTTATGTAATAATATTAACAATCGATTTATATTATATGAAATTCATTATAAATTCATATATTACTAGCGAGACCTTCGCTTCTCTCGGGTGCTTCCCTAGATGTCTACTTTTTAGATAGATATATTAGCCAGTGTTAGCGATGTTAATTTAAATATAATTATATATATATATATATATATATATATATATATACAATAAATTAAAGATCATTAAAATTGGTCCAGCCGTTCTTGAGTAATAAACGATGTGCGTGTAACTAACACGACTTTGTTTTATTTAAATAGATAGATTGAAATTCATTTATAAATAGTTAAGTTATGTTCAAACGTTTCGTGTTTTAATTGTGGATGTAAAGACAGCAGAAATAAATTTTAATGTTACTGCTACCAAAGATTTTAGATATAGGTACATATGTAGGTATTTGATTAATAAATTAAAAAATGTATTTAATATGAGAAAACAATATTTTCCCATTTTTCCTTGTTATTTATTAGTTATACAAAAAGACGGAAAATGTAAATTTATTAAAGGCTTAATTTTAGCCATTTTTGTATTCGTAATATAGATTTCTCAGATATGAGATATTTTCCCGCAGTAAAAAGTATCTTATATGTTGACCCGGATAACGAACTATCATTATACCAAATTTCATTAAAATCTATCCAGCGATTCTCTTATAATGCGTTCCCAGATAGACCGAAATACAAAAATTACGAAAACTATAGTTTCGGCCTCCGTATCAATAATAATGACTATTTCAATGAGATTTTTCAAAAATATTTAATATACAAATTCGATTCATGTAGAATTTTATTATGGGTAGGTATAAGATTTGTTGCCTTTGATATATAATAAATTATAAGCAAAACTTTTTCAGTTAAAAAATATCTGGCAATACTGTGGGCGATATACGAGGTTATTTTTTTTATCTCGAAGAGCCCGTTTGCGCAGCCACATATAGCTTCCTATTATAATTAATAAGAAGATTTAAAAATTAACAAGGAAATATTATTTTGTAAAATAATTTATAGCCATTAAATATATATATAGTGAACTGTGAAGACGTAAAGAAAGGCAAAGCAAGTAAAACCTGATTTATCAAAATTACTCAATGTTATTTACTTTCTTTAAATTAAGTATAAAATTTCTGTTATTGATATTAATTTTATCGCAATAAAAGCTTTTTTTATCTTACTATAAAAAGTAGATAGAAATTATAATCTACACTAATATTATTTAAGTTTTTTAGTTTGTTTGTAATGGATAAACTCAAAATCTGCAGAACCGATTTAGATGAAATTTGGTATGAAGATAGTTTGAGACTCTGAGAAGGACATAGAATAGGTTTTATCCCAGAAATCATCCCTAGAGAAGGGGATAGTGGGGATGAATCGTTTCTCAAGCAAGGAATAAAAAACGGATCATAACTATGTATATACTATTATATCGGACGAAATTGAGTGAAACGAGAGTGAGTCGCTAATTATTAATATATACAATATACTAACATACTGTTTGATTTGTAACAATAAAATATTAATACACTGTGTATGAAATGTGTTAGTGTTAGAGCCATACGAAGACGTACTTAGCATTGAATGTTGTCTCCTTTGTAGATAAGTGTTACGATTTTACTTCTATAAATAAGTTTTCTAAGTAATACTTCGTTGAACAGAATTGATATTATTTTGTATGAAAAATTATGATATTCATGTACAGTTTAACTTGAAAATAGCTTAAAGGCAACGAGTTACAACGATTTTATAGTGCGAAATAACATCACTGATTTTAGCTATAGGATGCTGTAAAACTTGTAATATAGTGTAAGTACCTTGAGAGTAAATCTGTTGTTTTTACAACTTCCACTTTAGAATTTATAAGCTAAAGGATAATACGTATATTATATGTTAATATATATATATATATATATATATATATTTAACACAATGTATTATGTATTACTAATAGAAAATCTCCTATTCATGTCTGTCTATAAATTTTAATATATTAATATAATTTTAAATAGTTTTTTTTTAATTTAAAATAGTTTTAAAACTGTAAATCTAACGCTAAGTATCAGCAACTTCAACAAACAGCTATAAGGATGAAGGCATTCAAATGCCAATAACTTTAAAATAGGCGCGACATGATTGCGACACCTAATGATAGGTCAGATGAGGTATTCCAACTATTCAATATAGAAATCTTAAGGCCGTACTCGTGTACTGAACCGATGGACGCCGACGACAATGACTTACATGGTACAATTTTGTTTTGATTAAATGAGGAAAAATTCAACAATTACTGTAGATATAATGGGTAATTAATATCATGCTCGTATATTTTTCCATTTTTTTTCTACACGTTTTACACATTATTTGTCTATTGTTTTATAATATTTACTAGCGACTCACCCCCGCTCCGCTCGGATTCGTCCATACTTACGTTTTAACGTTTAGTATAGATTTCTCAGAGATAAGATATTTTCCCGCAGTAAAAAGTATCCTATATTTTGACCTGGATAACCAGCTATCATCATACCAAATTTCATCAATATTTCCAGTGGTTTTTCCGTGATGCGGTCACAGATAGATAGACAAAAAATCAAAAAACTATAGATTCAGCCTCTGTATCGATAATAATGTCTATTTAAATAAGATTTTCCAAAAAATATTTAATGTACAGATTCGGCTTAGTTACAATTTTATTTTATGTAATTTTATTATAGTTTAATACAAGTTTGTTAAATATTGTAAGTTCTCGCCCGCGGATCCGACGGGGAAAACTACCTTATTTTACTCATTAATACTTCGCAAGATAGTTTTTTTTTATTTGTCCTAAAATTTTCAGTATCAGTCGCTGTGCAATTATTATGTTCATTTCATTATAACTTTAGATATAGTCTTTCAAACCAATATCGATAGCAGTTTTCATCATCATCATTAATTATGTGGAAGAAATGTAACCATACGATTAAAATAAATTAAAAATTCATTTTTTGTTAAAATAAATGAAAATATATACATATCTTTCCACTAGTATCCTTGAAATTCTTATTTTAAAAACCGATTATTCAATTCCATTTACAATTAAGAAAAATATCAAAAATTCCATATCTTTTTGTAGTCGGTCAGGACACAAAATATATGTTATATATGTAATATGTTTAAGATTCTCATACATTCAATATTTTAACGCATAAATTTGTTAGGTTAATTGAGCGGTACAAAAAATATTTTTATACTAGTGACTCAATCTCGCTTCGCTCGGGTTCGGGATAAAGGAGTAGGTATATGTTATTCTGTAGAGCTATATTATTGTAAAGTTTCATTAAAATCCATTCAGTAGTTTTTACGTTAAAGAGTAACAAACATCTATACATCCAGACATACATACATCGTCACAAATTTTCGCATTTATAATATTAGTAGGATATTTGTTTCAACTAAACCAAAGAATGATGTGATCTTAGAAGAATATTTAAAAAAAATATTACCAGGATTCGCCTTTGGCATGTTTAATTTAAAAAAAACGTTTTACCTTAAAATCAACGAAGTGTACACATGAAGTTACAATTTTTTTTATATTTTTGTATCTACTTCATTCTTATAAAAATAAACACGAGTTAATATAAAGCGTTAAAAATAATTTAGATAATTTCAACAAATTAAGAAAAAATATTTTGTAATCACAGATCATTATAGTTTGTAATTTATGGCATTTTTGTGTACCGTAATGGGTATTGTTTTAGTATCGGAAATAATTAACTAAAGATAACAAAAGAAAAGTCTACATATCTAGAATATGTACACTTGGTTATTTACAAATATATTAGCTTTAAGTAAATATTTAACAAAATTAAATAAATCAAATATAAATAAATTAAATTAATTATTACATTTTAAAAATTATTTTAATTTTTATTTAATTAAATTGTTTTATTTTATAGAAAGTTATTTAAATGTCAAAAAACAGTTTTTTTTAACAATATAATTAACTAATATTTTTTTATTGAACACCATGTTGATGGTAGCAACATAATTAAAGGCTTATATTATATACGTTATATATCAGAAACTGATAAAATGAATGTGAATAAAAAGTTGCGAAATGTTAATAATAAAGTAGAAACTTTTTGTCTGCAACAAAGTTTTGCTTCAGAGACATATTAACAATCTTTTTGTCAAGACTCGATTAAAATGTAATTATACTGCTTCAAATTAGTTTATCTTTGCTTAATTTTCAGATTTGCTTAATTTGTAATATATTATTCTAACAAAATAGCTTGAGTACTTAAACCCAGTTTAAACCCAGTTTATGAATTGTATTTAATTACATCAATTTACTATGTATTCTATTATTATGTATGAAATCTCAGTTGTATTGATGGTTTACAGTTGGATTTATTACAAGGAAATCAAAATTACCAAGAATCTGGTAAGGTTGGTAAATAACTATTATCGTCAGCGAGACTTGAACGAGCACGTTCCAAAGATAGACAGCGTCAGCAATAACTATAAAAAATGTTTGATAGCATGGAATATTCTACTAGAGAAATATAAGTTAATAATTATATTTAAAAACGTATTGTATGTTAATATTTTATATTGTACTGGTAGTGTTGTAGTCTCAGTCTTGTACCTAAGTACCTACGAGTTCTTTTAATTGTAATTTCGTGTTCCCCTATCGAATTTGTTTGTTTATCATTATTAACAATATCAAGTTCACTGTTCAAACTCATTAGAAAAAATAGTGTAACATATATTAATAATAATAATAGTTAAAAATATATAAACAATTGCATATAATTTGTGTATACATGATGAACGAACACCTTGAATATTTTTTCATTATTGAACAAGTTTGCTGAGCTATAGGTGATATAATGGTTTTTGTATTTCATACCTGTCGCTAGTGTATAACGCGCGAACAAAAGAATCAAACATACGCGTCGAATCGACAACCGCTTTTCACTACGACATCGTTATGACTTAAATATGAGATACAAAATTTTTAGCACAAAAATATTCTGCCCCGACCATATTTACAGATACCGTCAGAGCTGTTAACCTTAGCTCGAAGGGAAGGGCCCAGCGCCAACGCATATCTGCAAGTTTTTGAAATCGCTGTGCTAATAAGAAAAAATACTTACCCCGTTGAAATGTGAGAAGGTCCAAAAATGGTTCCTTGTTTAATTCCGGTATTCACGTTTATGTTTACGGAGAGAAAGGGTATCACTCGCGTGCGTTTGAGTTGTGGCGTAGAGCGGGAGTGGCGTGTTGGCTGTCGCGGCTCGTGGTGGCTACTGAAGGCCGCACGGCGGGGGGGCACTTTATGTGCGCGCGCGCACCCTACACCCACGCTCTGGTGGATCCTCGCGAAAACTAACTTAGCGCGCATTTTCAGTAATTATTCCCGTTAATTATGATTTTTTACATATTTTAACCCCTATTTATAGTTTTTTTTTGTTATGGCAGGATTTTTTTTATAAGTTATGTAACATAAGGTTTTTAAGACAATTCAGAGGCATAGTATACTCGCAAAGTGTATATTGAAAATCAATCTATGTGAACTATTTATTATCATTCTTAATTTAACTTAAAATACAAATCAAATAAAGTTAAAATAAAGCTAAAATTGTTATGCTTCAGACATGCATGCAATTTAAATTTAAATTTGAAAAAAAAACCAACCATATCTTTCAAATTTGGAAGAAGTTACAAAAATGGTAAGGATTAAATCGGTTCAGTAATATATAATATAATAAATTGTAAATATTTCGTTATTATACAAATTAAAAAACGGTAATTAAAGCCTATGAATATGTCTCTCTTCTTATCCTGTTCTATAGAGAACCTACTATTTTTTGAAAATCTTGTACAATTTTCTTAATATATGTAACTATGTGTTTGAGCCATCCAAATAAACAAGCTTCAAAGCAAAAAACTACGATTGCAAAGACACAAATTGATATACTTACAAATTTATAGCAGTTAGCAGCATGAGCATGAGATATACTCATGATCTTTTTTTCACGTCCTACCATGAAAACTGTAAGTCACTCTCCGACCCAAAAACTATTTGGACAAGGTAAACAAAAAGAAGGCTTGAACGCATTCAAAGTTTAGTATAGATTTCTCAGAGATGAGATATTTTCCCGCAGTAAAAGTATACTATATGTTCACTCGGTTAACCAGCTATCATCATACCCAATTTCATCAAAATCTGTCTAGTGTTTTTCTCGTGAAGCGTTCCCAGACAGACAGACACAAAAATTCTAAAAACTATAGATTCGGTCTCTGTATCTGTATAAAAATGACTATTTCAAAAAGGTTTTCCAAAAAATATTTTCTTATCGTTTTTAAGTAATTTTGACAAATTAGACTTATAACAAGTACTTTTGAATCGTCAATTTAATGTAAGCGTCAGTGTAGTCAGACCATGGGGAAGCTATTTCCGGTTCGGAAGACAGTTCTGCTGAGAAGAGCCGGCAAGAAACTCAACCGTTGCCCTTTAAAATATCGAAATTACATTTATTTTACTAACATAACAAACTTACAAAAAATATAAATGCGAAAAGCATCTGGAAAAATTATAGTCCATTCAAGAGCATATTTGCATTACCAAAGCTCTATGTTTTATATATGAAATATGAAATAAGACGTTTACTATATATATATATATATATATATATATATATATATATATACAGATTTTAATATACAAAAAATCCTTTATTTAATACGTTACGCATAGAATTACTATGTAAACAAGCAAGCTTATATGTTTCTAAATCTCGTAGAACAAGATCACTGGCATTTCGGTTAATTTGTAAATTTAAAATATTTTAATACCATAAAAAACACATTTAATATCATATTTCTGTGAAATAGGTAAAGTAGGTGCTCTATTAAATTGCACGGACTATACTTATACGTACTAATCTCATCTGATCATTACTTGGCTTTATGTTTGACGGTTTTATAATAACATCTTGACGCAACAATAATGTTATGTTAGCTGACTAGCTTTTTGTATACCGTGTTACATGCTTTTTACAAAATTAGACTCTATGTATTCTAATATTATAATAAAAAGGAAAAATTATTTTGTTTGTTTGTTTGTTTGTTTGTAGTGAATAGGCTCTGAAACTACTGAGCTGATTTAGATGAAATTTGGCAAGAAGATAGTTTGAGACCCTGGGAAGGACGTTGTATAGTTTTTATCCCGAAAATCATCCTTTAAAGAGTTGAAAATAGAGATGACAGTTTTTATGGAGAATCAACTTAGGAATAAATAATTTTATAATATTTTTATTATTTTGAATCCTGTTTTCAGTTCAAGTTTTTATAAAGACATCTTTTAGAAGAAAAAACGATGCAAATGTTCATCAAATATTATATACTAGGGTGAATCAAAAAATTCTTGGAAACGCATATATATATATAAAACCTCTTGGGGGATAATTCGATATTCGTTTTAAAGAGTGTTAATTAAACAATATATTTTATGCCATGTATCATTTGTCTTTATCAGTTTATTCACATGCAATTAATTATTTTGTAAAACGATGATAATGAGCGGTGATAATGTGTCTGTTCCTGAAAAAAATTTCCTTGAAGCAATTTTTTCGGACATCCAGAAGATATTAAGGGATAATGCTTTACCCTATTCTACGGTTCCATATTGGGTGATCAATTTAATAGAGTTAAATAAACTAAGCCGTAAAGATGAATCGCGTTCTTTCCGCCTTTCAACCTCTGTTACGGAAGAAAGCATCAAAAAGGTAGAGAATCTGGTTTTAGAAGACAGAAAAATAACCATAAAACATTTAGCTGAGATCCTAAACATCCTATCATTTGGAAGCATTCTATCCATTTTCAACCGACTTCCTCAAAAAGGAGGAGGTTCTCAATTCGGCTGTATGTTTTTTATTTATGTTTGTTACCTCAGAACTCCGTCATTTATTAACAGATTTGGACAATTTTTGTTTTTTTTTTAAGTGTACACTTGCAGACTGGTCGCATTTAAATTTCACATATACTATCCGGAGTTAGACCCTAGTGATGTTCCATTCCTTATTCCAAAACTAAAAATCATATTCGTAAAATTAAATTTCACGATGACTTGCTGCCATAGTCGAGTTTTTCGGGAGTCATGAAAAAGATTTTTTTCGCAAGGAATAAGAAAGTTAGAAACGCGGTATTCTAAATGTATTGCATTAGAACTAAATTATGTAGAAAAATAAAATATTTTTGTTTCATTTTTGGCTTTTTTTATATTAATTCCAAGAACTTTTTGATTTACCTTCGTACATATATAGTAATTAGAAGCTGGGCTTCGCTCAGCGTAGGCGCTCGTCCAGTGGTCATCATCCATTGGCCACAAGCACCACAAAAATTTAAGAGTTGGCTCTATGTGACGTTGTTAATACGACAGCAGATAGAATAAGGCTCTAATAAGTAATAATATATAATTTTTTGTTTAAAATTGCTTTTCTTTTAGAAAAGGCAACTAAATAGATAAACGTAAAAAGTACCTAAAACCTTATCTAAATATAAAATTTGATCCAAATCGTTAGTCGTTTCCGAGATACACGGAATAAATTTATATATAAATATACAAGGATTGCTCATTTAATATTATAACATAAGACTTTAAAACATTAGATTTTGAAGCTAATCACTAAGTAAATTGAGGAAATAAGCTAATTCGTTTCGTTTTTTCATTTTAATCAATATTTTATTAGTTACAACTATATTCTTTGAAATTTAGTTAAAGTGGTCTAAGCCCCATCCGCTATAAAGAGGACAAGAATATCTAGACAACAGTTTTACTAGAAGTTTCCATTATTCGTGTTTAGTTGTTTATTTTTTTGTAAAAATTAGACATATATTTTTAAACTAAGATAAATATGTTGGGACATTAATACACAGCACAATCTAGTTACATGGTAAGCTAAGATACTTGTGTTATGAATACCAGATAGTTGATACAATACACATATATAACTTTAAATATACACATATTATAAATATAAACACCCATGACTGGAGTACAAACATTCGTGCTCATCACACATATGAATGCCTCCAGCGGGACTCTAACTCGCGACCGCTGGCACAACAAGTAGGATTTCTACAAGCTGAGCCAAACATTTCAAGATTTAATTGTCATCGACTGCCGAGCTACAGGTGGCTCGGTTAGCAATTGAATTCTTAGAAATTAACCGCGAGGTGTTATGGTACTTTTAATTACACTTTAACTTAACAGTAGAGCTTTCTTTATAGATGTATTATAATCTATCTATTAATCTAAAAGCAGTTTATGCCTGGAATAGTTTTAAAAGATCACAATCGGTATTCGCAGACTCCTGGAAATCTACAATTAATTTCTTGATGACTAACTCTCTGAAAACGAGACAAAACAAATTAGTCACTGCCTATTATTGTCACAAATGGTTCAGAAAAATACGTGCCCTTATCGTTCAGTTTTCATTGTTGCGCAATAATAATAATTGTTGGAATTCTTATTTTTTAGATAAACACTAAAATTTATTACTCCTTCACTCCACCTTGCGTGACATCTATACCTACATATAATAAAATTCTGAGTCGAATATGTACATTATATACTCTTTGGAAAATCTTATTGAAATGGAGGTTATTATCGATACAAAGGCCGAATCTATAGTTTTTAGAATTTTCGTCTATCTGCCTGTTTGGGAACGGTTCAGGAGAAACCCACTGGACAGATTTTGATGAAATTTGGTATGGTGATAGCTGCTTATCCGAATCAACATTTAGGATACTTTTTACTGCGGGAAAATATCTCATCTCTGAGAAATCTATGTGGCTTGCAGTGGATGGATGCGAGCTGCCCAGGACCGGGAAGGTTCGCGCTCAGTGGCTTTTGCTCAACAGTGGATGGCATTAGACTGATTGATTGATTGATATACCCTATAATACTGGCGTTATCAAGGCGTATAAATCATCAAAATCGTTTAAGCTGATTAGTCATTACGAGGGAACATAGGGTCGGATATACCTTCAGGTCAAGGCCATAACCCTGCTTTAGACTTCGCCGCAGTCGAGTAAAAAAAATTATTATAACCCCAAATTTTGAGCCTTCAAGCGCCGACGGGACAACTGCTGGATATCTACGGTAGTTGTTGTTAATTTATTGTATTATCCGAACTTTAATAATAAATTTTGGCCCTTTTATAGCTTATTTTTTGGATGAACTCAATAATAATCTTCGTAATAATCTTTTGCATTTTCTCATATTACGGTACATGTATGTGTAGAAAGCTATTTCTTGAGATATCAATATTAAAGACCACCTTTTTCGTAATTATTTGTTTGTATAAACAAAATATAAACAAA